GATATGAATTATTTATAAGGTTCTTGAAACGAACGCTCTGAATGGGTAAAAAGCTCAACGCGTTCAGTTGCGTTGACCAATAGAAACGCGCCTTTTTTTGCGTTGGGTAAAATGAAAGTACACAGGCTTGCGTGAAGGGCATGATCTGCTATGAAAGCAGTGAAGGACCGATCTTGAAGGATGGATAGAAACATTTAATTAGAAATGGTTCCCGTAGTAACCAAAATCAAGGCCATTGGGTAATGTATTGCAAGGAAGTTAAACCCAATCTCTTGCCTAAAGGAAATTCAGATTAATAAATGAAATGGTTGTTGGAATTTTTAATGTTTGTAATGCACATGTACAGTTTAGACAGTGAACATGCATAACATGGAGGAGAATTTGTAGGTTATCCTAGCTCAATACTGCAGGTAGCAACACATCATGAGATATCACAGCCTTTTCTCAGATTCCTTTCTGTGCATTGCAGAGATGGTCTGAGTATCAGAATGGTAGCAACATAAGATAATAAGTTTTATTTTAAAGAATGCACAGCGTCCGAGTGAATAACTTGGGATAGGTCAGCTCATAATGCAGCAGGGGAAAAATAGAGTGAATAACTCGTTTTTGAGGCCAGGGTTTTATTTCTATTTACATAATCATATTTCTTGCCACATTGATTGCCGACTAAGTTTCATTTGACAATCATGTGGAAGTGGTGACATATTGTTATAGTCTTCATCTTTTTGTGGATGGCATTTGGGGTTTGGCTGTCCTTGGTCGCCATCTGTAACAAATGGTGGGTGGTGACATTTTGCATGTTAATGCCCTGTTGACTTTATATTCATGGAAGAGATAAGTGGGATAAGTGTTAAGGAGTGATTTTGAAATGAGATTCAGATTTCAAAATTGAATGATTGATTTCTTGAGCTGTCATCATCATGACTTCTTTAATGCATATGATTTTGTACTGATAGACACAAACATGTATTGAGTTCTGTATTAATTAACTCAGCTTCCGGTACAATATATCTTTCACTTGATAGATTGGAATGTAGTCTGAACAGAAATGTATGTCTCCCACGCTTTTACTTCTTGATGGTTGAGAAGCTACAACATTGAGGGCTTATCAGTGTAAGTGTGGGTACACCATTCATGGTCTTTAACGACTGATATCTACCTTACTCAACACAAATTTTTCCCCCTGCTGCATTATGAGCTGACCTATCCCAGGTTATCGGTCTGGAGCTCCTTATTAATTATATTCAAGAAATTGTTAGGCTGAGGATAGGGAGGAGCTGGAGCTATAACAGACTGCCTTCTTGCTCTTGACTTGGGTAATGACATGTGACTATTGCTATTGTGAAGTACTTGTTGATGTGACCCATAAACAGGGAATACAGGGTGTAAAAAAACGCAACCCAAAGAAATTGTTATATCTTAGAAAATACTAATCCAATTGTGTTCATTTTTTCAGGAAATAAAAACACGATGCCTTGGACACCTGCTCAAAAGACATTAGTATTAGAAACATGCGAAAAATGCAGTAAGAGGAGACTGCCAAAGCAATAAAACAGAATAACCTTCTAACCATAGTGTCTTGGCACTTCAGATTTAGCACAAATTATCCTCATTCAATGTGTGCTGAATTTGTGGATTGGCCATAGTGTTTTGGCTTTTCAAATTTGGCACAAATCATCTTTATTCAATGTATGGTAAATCTGTACAGTGAAATCAAAATCACTCCAGGGACTTTACAGTCATGGTCAAAATACCTTCTTAAGTCTGCCTGAACCAGGGCGTTTGGCTGCATTTTGAAAGCATTTCGACCATAACTGTAAAGTCCCTTGAGTGATTTTGATTTCACTGTACAGATTTACCATACATTGAATGAAGATGATTTGTGCCAAATTTGAAAAGCCAAAACACTATGGTTAGGAAGTTATTTGTTGTCACCCCTGACTAGGGTTTTTCGTATTTTTCTAGTTCAACTGTCTTTTGAGCAGGTGTTCAAGGCATCATGTTTTACAACTAACTAACAACAGGGGCTATACATACACAGTCTCTTCTTTCTTTCCTGAAAAAATGAACATGATTGAATGAGTATTTTCCAAGATATAGCGATTTCTTGGGTTGCGTTTTTTTAACACCCTGTATATTGACATTACCAACTGACTTTTGACAACAATTCATTAATATCCATTCCTGCTACAGGATCCAATGATTGTACATAAAACAAGCATGTAAAGTTCTGTATATCAAATGTATAAAATGTTTATTGCTTAAAATATATTATGCAAAAATATTTATATTATCACATTTACACATCACAATAATTTGGTGGTCTTATAAGCATTTTATTCAAAGCATTCGGCATGACTATTTGCCAGAATCTTAAAAATTAATAAAAACATATGTACATTAAAACTAATCCCAGGTGACTAGAACTACTTGCATGTCTCAGTGTGGGTCTTGGGATTTTTCTATCACTCGACAAGTGGCAATCGACCAATGAAAAATTATACTCGTCACAGTGTTGCCACTGATGATATATTATATATCACCCTATGCAGACAGAGCCTGTGGGAAATATTGGGTGCGGCGCAAATGAGCGGAGGGTGCGGAGCTAACGGTCATTTTTGAATTTAAAATTGGGATATTTCTGAAACTAAGCCGTTTTGGGACTTCAAATATACCAAGATATGTGTATTTGACACCAAATATCAATAAAATTGTGAAAATAGTAGTGCAATTCATTTTATAAGCGGAGGTACGTTTATGGAGCTGCTCCGCACCCAATATTTAGAGGGGGCTCATATCTGAAAAACATTTCCGAATTTTTATAAAATCACACAGATACTGCCTGGCTTCCAAGATGCAAAAATAATTTGTATAGATAGTGTACCTTGAACACCATTTTTTATGAATGCTGGGGACTCAGTATTAAAAGGATAATTTCAAAAGATATAGGTCTGAGAAAGGTTTAAGGCACACTGCGTCGCTATAGAATGAATTGCGCTACTATTTTCACAATTTTTTTTTTTTTTTTTTTTTTTTATTTATTAAAATCATATTTACATAATAATGATAAAGACACCCCAGGGGGTGTATGGCTTATCACAAGCTAGAACATTTTAAAATTGCATATCATTTATCATTAAGTTGTAATTCTTTATAAATTGTTTTAAATTTAGGTGCATATACTCTTGAATTTACAATGTGTCATCAAAATTTAAATTAAATCAGGTAAGCCAAGCTGGTAAACAGTATAAGTAAAATGTTTAACATGATATAGTTGAAAGATATAAAATTGATTTATGGATACCGGTGCATCTGTTTAAAGGTAGTACAGAGTACTAATCATAGCGACTAATAACGTGTCTTTTAAAAGCACACTTTAAAATCTGAAAGGTTTTGGAATTTTTGATGTTATCTGGAGCTGAATTCCACATTAGTGCCCCTTGAGTCTTAATGCTTCTTTTGCCATGGTTAGTTCTAAATTTGGAAATATGAAGATTGCTAGTCTGCCTTGTGTTGTAGTCATGTACGCGATGATTTGCTTGAAAATAATTACCGAATAAATCATTAGGAAAATTGTCTGGACGGTTGATGCATTTGTAAGTAAAGGTGAGAACATTGAGTTTATAAATATCATTTATCTTAAGTATATTTAATGTACGGAATAGAGGTGAGGATGGTGCTTTATTATATTCACTATTAGTAGCCAAACGGACAAATCTTTTCTGTAATTTTAATAGAGTATCAATATGTGTCTTTCCTGCCCCACCCCAAATCGGGATACAATATTGCAAGTGTGAGTAGATAAGTGAGTAATATATATTCATTAAAGATTTCATGTTGAGTTTGTGTTTAATTCGAAATAGAGTACCAATGGTTTTTGAAACTTTCAGTGCAATTTTGCGAATATGTTCTTTCCAGTTTAAATTCTGATCTATTATAACACCAAGGAAATTAGTTGAAAAGACACGCTTAATGTTTGAGTCTCTAATTTTGATTAAAATATCATTCGGTACCATGTTTTGAGAAGTTGTAAAAACCATAAAGTTGGTTTTATCAATATTCAATGAAAGCTTATTAGCCCGGAACCAATCATCTACAGTTTTCAGTTCATTGTTAACATTATCAACTAAAGTGTTAATATTTTTGTCAGAGCATAAGATGTTTGTGTCATCAGCAAAAATTGTATATTTGAATAAATTGCTAGTGGAGATTAGGTCATTCACATAAAGAATAAATAGTACCGGGCCTAATATAGAGCCCTGCGGGACACAAATCAATTGTATTGATATTTGGTGTCAAATACACATATCTTGGTATATTTAAAGTCCCAAAACAGCTTAGTTTCAGAAATATCCCAAATTTAAATTCAAAAATGACCGTTAGCTCCGCACCCTCCGCTCATTTGCTCCGCACCCAATATTTCCCACAGGCTCTGTCTGCATAGGGTGTATATGTATACTCACAGTTTTCTTGTTAATAAAAATCTTTAAAAAGTAAGTGATATGTTTATGAATGTACTTAAAATTGACTTTGTTCTATAATATCCAACAATGGCAAATGTCATGTCTGTAATACATATATATACATGTTTATCCCACCCTAAGTGCTTTGTATGATTGTATAATAGCATTGTATAACTGCAATATAAAACCAACACTCATCGTATATAACTCTTGAGAACGATATACAACTCCTGAATAGCGTATACAACTCCTGGGCAGCATATACAATTCTTCGACTTGATATACAACTGCTGACTTTAGATTAACCTTTTATTGATTAAAGATTAGGGTGGGATAATAAGATCATATAATGGTCGATTTTGTATATCGTTATACTCTCGTGAGTATATGATATATTCACTCGTTTCCTCGGGGTGTCCTTTTCATATCACTTGTAAATTAATATTGTATGAAAACTAGAATTGAATAATAAATTGAATTGAATTGAAGAAAAAAAAAAGTCACTCGTGAATATATCATATACTCACTTGAGTATAAACACGATATACGGAATCAACCATTATATAACCTCATAATATCCAACATGCAAGTTTATATTATATACAATATTTACACTCTGCAAAAATATCATACATGTATTATGACAAGTTCTCAAATCATTGCAATTTAGTTCTGTTATGTCCGTGAAGATTGACTTTGGATGCCAAGTGTTTTTGTCTGATTTTGTCAAAGGACATGCATAGCATTAGATCATATATCATTGAGCTATCTGAGTCAACTTCAAAAATATCTTTACGACAGGCAAGTGTCAATGCTTGATGTGTCCATTATTACAGATGAAGATTTGGTGTTGTTTTGGCATCTCTGAAGCAGCTTGTGTGACTTTTGTGTTCTTTCTGAGAGCTTGTTCTTGGTGATCTTTGCAGTCATCTGCTTTATTAGTTGAAAGCATGGAATGAGTTATGATACCTGAAAATAAAAGGACTGAATACTTTGCTGGGAACTTGGTTTCTTTTCACAATAGAATAAATTAAATATGTTCTGATGATGATACATATCATTCATGTCATTCTGAAGTGATGCATATAATCATGGCTCTAAATAATTTTCTATACAAGCTTGTTTAAGACTATACAGTGTATCAAAATATCAGCTACAAAATGATAACCTTCATATTTTCCTAATTAAATGTCTAAACATAAACACTGAAACTGAATGGGTAATTAAATGACGCAACAGTATGGAATTGGATGTGTGTTGGATTTGCTACTCCGAAAGTTGCTGTTTTTTTAGTTAAACATCCTTTTGTATTATTGATCACATTTGGTATAATATTACATTGATTCTGTTTACCTATATTGTCTTTCGGTTTTGCTTGGACTTCTTCAGCCAGTTTAATTTTCCCAGACTTTCTTAGGGCAGCAGCCAGTACTTTTCTTTTGTTCACATCTCTACCTTGTCTGTTCCACCACTCTTTCAGAATTTTGACTCCCCAGTCATTGGCATTTTGTGGGCTACTCTGCTTTATTGTTTCCACCTCATGTAGACTGATATTAAGTCGAATGGCAATCTCATCGATTTTGTATCCCATTTTCTTGCCAATGTCAAGGAGTTCAATCTCTGTCAGCTCGTCTTGTAAATTATCTAAATGAGATCAATACAAAAATGTATACATTTTTGTGGAAAAAATCAGGCAAGGTTTCAGAAAAAATTATTGAATTATTAAATTATTGAGGCAATCATACATATTGAGGCAATCTTGAATGGAGGTATAAATATGGTAGATGCTTTGCATGTCAAGATTCTCTCATTTTGACTTTGGTGAAATAGTTTTTTAATGATAAAAATTCAACATGAAAACATGTTAGTAAAATGCTACTGGCTAAAGCAGGTCTTGATTTTGATATTTTTTCATGTTTTAATTACCTATTTGCATAGATAAGTGGAAAAACATTTATCCTGAAAAACAAAGATGAACTAGATTTTTACCTTGACCAGTGACCCTCAAATTGACTTAAATCGTCAATATCAATTTAGAACTAGAAATAACATTTTTTATTTGACTGTTTAGATATTTAAAAGCTTATAGAGGGTTTATCAGAAATTTGCTATTGTTTTTATACCAAAATTGATAAATTTTGAGTTGTTTTTCTCTGAACTTTTTGTGTACTGTACCTCCAAAATGGATTAAAATAGCTTCTGACGACTGCAAAGGAGAATATCTACAAGTATCCACTGGTCGTTCAGGGTCTGTGCACACCTTTTTTCTTTTCATACAGTGTCTACGAAGGACCACTATGAGTGTCAGAACAATGATTGAGGTGCATAGTATTGTTAGAATAAGAGTGATCAAAGTTAAATCAATGCCCACTTCAGATGTTGCTGCAGATGATGATATAGGTGTTGACATCAATGCTATTGTCGTAGATGTAGCTGAGGTTGACGTTGCCGTAGATGAAGTTAATGTTTGTGTTGTTGTTGGAGTTGTTGTCATAAATGGAGTTGTTGTTTGTGTTGTTGTTATTGTTGTCGTAGATGGAGTTGGTGTCTGTTTAATACAATCCACATATTCTAAAAAGAACAAGAAAAATATAGCATAAATTACAGGACTTAAAGATAAATGACATACTAGCACTATGCCAGACAGACAAAAGATTAGTGTTTGTTTTTGTGGTTTCAATTGACCTTCAATTGACAAGTTATTTTGTTTCCTGTAAAAAGTAGATACATTTTAATTGAATATTAAAAAAGTGAAATTGTAGTTCATAGAAAGATTTTATGTCCTGAATATGCAAAAAGCAATGATAAACCAACAAGAAAAGAACAGAAACAGACGAGCCATTTATTATTATCAGTGATTAAAGCCAATGGTATTTAACTGTGCAAACCTTTACAATGTTGCATTGTATTAGTATCATTCCAGCACAATTCCTCATAATTTTCTTGGTTGATCCATGGGTGGCAGATGTCCCTACAGGATTGCAATATCTCATTGTTCCCATGACCATCTCGAGGGAACTTTTTCTCATATTGTCTACAATTCGACATCTGGAAATACAGTTCGATCTTTACCCTGCATGCAGAGTCTAGTTAAACTACACTCTGCCTAGTAGAAACCATATTACAGTTTAGTAGCCCCGCCCCCACGACAGGTGCAGATGACAGTTTGTGTTTTGGCTAAAATAAATTCTGAATTGTCATTGGTCAATTCCGGGCTTAACGATGACGTCAGTAGGAATGACCATATATAGAACGTTAGTCAAATTTGGCGGACGAGCACTGATTGGCGCAGTGAGTTCACACGTTTATTTTAGTTTGAAAGAGTGAAGACGGAGCTCTCTTTTAAGAAGTGAAGTCGAACGAATGCAAAGGGTATTCGATTATCTGTGGTACATGCTAAACATGAATATAGAATGGGGAGTGTTTTTTTAGTGCAGAGTCTGCAAAGTCAAGTAAACCATTTTTTGGTATTTTAAAAATAAATGCATCTCTGTTTCTACATACCTTTCCTCAGTTTCTTGTCTCAGTAGAATAAAGTTGACCAATCCCATCAATTGAAATCCAGTGTTGACACTCCCGGCAGATTAAAGGATGGAATCTGCAATCAAATATCAACTTTGTTAGAAAAGAATGTCCATCTAATATCAGTTCTCAGGATATTGTTTTAGAAAATTGCCTGTCAATCAGATTCCAAATCTAATACATAGTACCTTGGGTACTGGTCTCACATGGTGTTGCTCAAAAGTGAATGATGGCCAAAATGGCAAAAAAACGGATATAATCTTTTTGAAAATTTTTTGTAACAAAATTATTTCATTCAATTACTCTTTACAGTGACATGGCTTTTTACAGTGCTGAACACCTGAAGTTATTTTTGAAGCTAGCGAATGGTCCAAAAGAGAATAGGCGAGCTTTTGAAACAGAAGTCACAGGGGAGTTTTCTGTATTGATGTAGAACAAAAATAACTTAAAACGGGAATCCTATTGAGGTTTTAAAGCAAATGGTCCAAAAGTGAATTTCGCGAGACAAAAATGGCGGCCATTTTGAAAATAGGCGATCTTTTAAACCAGGAGTCATAGGGGGATTTTCTATATTGATGTTGAACAAAAATAACTTAAGACGGGAATCCCATTGACAGAGGTTTTAAACAGGGCCAATTGTTGACAGAGGTTTTAAACCGGGCCAATTGTTGACAGAGGGACAGACAGACAGAGTGACAGATGGACAAGTGAGTGATTGCAATAGCTCACCATGTGAGCTAAAAACATGGCTTTACCTTTTGACGCACCAAGAATTCTAGAGTTCTTATAGTTTTGACATCAGGTTTTTGGAAGATAAAGAGAAATGGCTCAAATGACACAAACCTGTCTTTTATCAAGGCAATAGACAACATGGGCATGGTGGGGGTCATTGGTACAGATATAAATTGTACTGTAAATTGAATTGAATATCAGATATACATATAAATGTATCAAAATAAACATAAAAATACAGATTTTTTATGTCAAAAGTTGCAGAACATGATGAAATATAATTAGAACTAATGAAAATAATAGACCTGACTCAACCGTGCGAGCATTTTGCTCATTGTATAGTTTTAATACGTCTAACATGTATATAATTTTGTCATAATTTTGTACTTTTATTTTTCATCACTGTACATATAAATTGTATCTCCATTTTATTATGGGCAATAAAGATATACAATACAATACAATAGAACTACATATATGTACAGTATTAAGAAAATTGATTCAAAATGTCTGATTAATAAATAAACATTTCAGACAATAAGATAATGGTTGGAAATATCTTCCTCTTTCAAAGAGAATAGATTAGTAGAGGCTGAAGAACGTTTAAGTTTGTATAATTTTCTCCATAATTAATGAAAGAATCGGTTTATCGATGATTGGTTGATTAATATATTTCTGTGATAGGTGAACCAAATCTTAGTTCTCATTGAATCCACTAGACTAAAGTACACTGATATTAATACATGTAACAAGATAAGATAAACAAATTTCAACTGAGATAGGCCAACAATATTCCTTTATTTTAAAAAGTTAAGCATATTTGGAAAATATTTATATTTGAAAAAATATTTTATCACAGTGTATCGTCATGACATGAAATTTTTTAAATGCTTTAAAAGTTTACATATGCATAAAATCTTAGATTGAAATAATATGACTTATGCCTGATCTATTCAATGGAGGAGAGGTAATTATGTGTTTTGCAGTGTTAAGTGCTGTATGTGATGATCTCAAAATCTAAACATCTGTTTCTAAAATGGCGGGAAATTCAAATATTTGAAAACAATAAGATGAACAACCTTTTTTCTTAAGTCACATTTTTCAGAAAATCTCAAATAGTTTTATAAGTCATGTAAAGTAATAATTAAATGATTAAACTATATTTTCAAACTTTGCAATAAATGATTTATCTGATATTATAAAAGCTACACACTAGCATGCAGAGTGACCCTATGGCACAGTAAAACATGTATATCTAAACACCTCTGTTATCCAAATATCTCACAATATGGACACTTCAGTCCTAATTTCGTAATCTCCCTTTGGCATTTTATAAAGCCTGTTTTGTGAATGAATACATATGAAAAAATGACAAGTTTGAAATTTCAAAGAATGATCAAATTATTATAATTCAAAACAAAAGCACAAAAATATCAAGAAAATGAATAACAAACAGATTATTTATAAATTGTAAATGTTAGTTGAATAAATTTATAATATCAAAACAATTATATACAAAATTACTTTTTACCTAATCCGTGTTGCAGAGTTTCCCTTGTATAAGATATAATGCTTGAATTTCAAACTCTTAGTATTTTGTATTTACTCATAACCAATAACACTGCTGCCGTGAATACTTATATACCCTTTGAAACATTGCACAAATGGGTGTTTTATGACATGTTAGAAATGTATTTTTGATGCAATCATCCAGTGCTTCAAATAATGTCCTCAAAGTAAATTTGTACATTTTTATTATTTAAAAGTAGGTATTCCAGTCATGAAAAACATATGTTGAAACTTAATTGAGCAATACATTATCCTGGTTGGGAATACCAAGTTATATGTGATTTGATAAGCACCCTTTATTTCAAATAGATCTATGATATCTTATTAAACTGTGAAGTCCTAGATTGAAGATTTTCAATGAACTCAGATGGCGTGAATTTCATGAATGAAAGTAGACCCATTTACACCATTTGGTGAAATTATTATATTATTTTGAGTTTTTTCTGTTTCCTTATAATTTTGATTTGACCCAGAAGAAGTGAGAAGCTCCCATAATTCTTTCATATTCTATCGTATTGGAGGATTCCCCATTATACGATCTCCAATCAAATTGCAGGATGTGATCACGTGAACAATCATGAGCACTTGCTTTCTCAGTGCTGCGCATATGCAAAGTAAAATTTGAAATTGTTGAAATGGCGTTTATTTCAGTTCAACATCAGTTCAACATCATCATTTCAAAACTACGGTTGTCATAATGTCTTAATTATGTTAATTAGATGCTTTATGTTACGTCATAATTGTACAAATGTGTTACGTCACAATCTATGGAATAAACGCAGTTGATAGTCAGACACGACACGAGTGAAGTTCAATTCTCATAACATGGTGACTAGATGTGGTTAAAATTGGATTAAATTGGTGTTTATGCCGGATATTACTCATATATAGTGCTCAATAATCCTATAGGACAGTAATGGCATCATTTAGACTGACACCACCGGAAAATTTGGATACAAATAACCCGAAACTATGGAGGTTCTGGAAGCAACGCTTCACAAGATTCAGGACAGCGGCAAAACTTGATTCTGAATCGGAGGAAAGCCAGATAAACAGTTTACTGTATATTATGGGTCCCAGATCAGAAGCGATCTATAACAGCTTTATATTCGCAGAAGGAGAGGATAGATCTAAATATGAAACCATTTTGAGGAAATTCGACGAGTATTTCGTTCCTAAAGTTAATGTGATAGACGAGCAGCGGCGTTTTCATGAGATCGCACAAAACTCTTCGTCTGTTGACACGTTCCTGAGAGAACTGTACGAACAATCAGAGGTTTGCGCTTTCGAAAATAAAGAGACGGAAATACTTCATCAGTTCGTTAATGGACTATCTAACGTGGAACTTCAAAACAAGATAAAACTGATGGACTATTCTAAACTCACGTTGCATCGATGTATTGAAATGGCAAGAATCCGAGAGGCTGTGCGCGAGACTGGCCCGCCTCAACCTGTTGATGCGATTAAAGCCCGTGGAAATAGTTCAAATCACCGCAAACAGAAACCCGACCGTGAATGTGGTAACTGTCTTCGTAAGCATGCAGAGGGGCAGTGTAATGCCCATGGAAAACAATGTTCCGCCTGTAAGGGCATCGGGCATTTTAAAAGGGCATGTCGCAAGACAAAAGGTGGGACTGTTAAACTTCCGAGTAAAAGCTCAAACAAGAAAATTGAATCTACAGAATACGTAGAAGACCAAGATGAGGATTATGTATTCCTATCGGAAATGGTAATTCCCAATGACCCAGGCATTCCAGGGTTACCAGACCGGATCTTCGGGACAGATGTCGATGTACGCTCACAAGCTTCACCCGTTCCAGGTATCCAGAGTGACGATATTAATACATCACCGCTGGCTGATTCTGTTGATATTGACAATATGACAGACGTCACAGATGTGAATGATCAAGTCCCAGCGTGGTTTAAAGAACTTAGGATAGCAGGTAACAATCCCATTCGTTTTAAAATTGATTCAGGGGCTGATGTTACCATGATCACCAGTGATACATACTCTAGTTTGCCCAATCCTCCTCCATTACGTCCGAGTAGAGTTAAGCTCAGTAGTCCAGGGGGTCCTGTCAAATGTAAAGGGGTGTTTACCGCTCAAATTCCCCATGCGTCACGCAAATACAGGGTAAACATGCACGTCGCAGATACTTTTTCTGGG